CAGTAAAAATACCGTAAAACAACAATTTCAATGCGCCTATTTCATGTGTAACCAGAAATCACGCTAGAAATATATTTATATACAGTATATACAGTATATTTCTTTGGCATATGACTAATCTATCAATTTTATATTTTTCTAAAAGAATATATATATATATATATATATATATATATATATTTTTCTTGCATCGATGTATACTTATTTTCTCGTCGAGGATAGGAAAATGCGACTTCAATGTGTGCGAGTCGGGAATTTTGTTTGTCAAAGAAACATTCCTGAGGCGAGTTTATTTGCTTGTTGTATAGATTTCTTTACATAAACCTAAGTTCTTTCTTCCTCTATGCGATAAAATCTCCTTTAAAAGGCGATTTAACACAGTTCTTTCTTCATTTTAACTTATTCTTTCTTATATTTTTGGCTTAAAAACAACGTCATTATTCGAATTTACAACGTTGTACGGACGGAGAGATAATAAGATTCTTAAGTTAAATTAATTATCAATTTATTAGTTATATTTTTTATAAATCTGTTCTAATTTTCATGTCTTTGATGATGGAAAAATGATGCCAAGAGCTCTCCAACATCACGGATTTTTATCAATAATTCTTATTTATTAAATAAAATCAGCTTCTATTAAGTAAAAGGAAAAAAAATTAATTCTAAAATTTAACCCATTTTATCAAGAAAATTTTAAAAAATTGAAAGAGAAATTGAAATAAAAATCTCTTCATATGCATTCATATTAATCTTCAGCATCACTAGAAAGATGATGAGTGATGCTGGAATTTGATATTTTATTAAATATAACTAATTTATATTAATTAAAATAAGAATTAAATGTAAAATTTAATTAATTTATCAAAATAATTCCAAAATATGCAAGAGAGATTTTAAAAAAAAAGCTCTTATGAAGATGCTTAAAGATCCTCAGCATCACTGACTTTTCCAATGATGCTGAACATCTCCAGAAAAGTTTTATCTTAATTTTTTGGTAAATAAGTTAATTTTTAAATGATTTTTTGCTGTAATTAACAGAAATTGATTTTATTTAATAATAAAAACTTAATATTTGATAAGATTTCTTTCTTTTTTTACAAATTTCACTTTGTTTACTAATTAAACTTTCCTCGTTTCTTTCAACTGAAGAACAGGAAAAAAATTAAATTACTCAATTAAACTTTACGAAAATTTCAATCTGTAATTTTTTTAATTCTTAGAAAAAGATCGAAAAGTTTTATTACTTTTTTTTAAAAAAAATTAAAACAAACTTTTAAAAAACATTTTCATAAATTTTTTTTATATTTCTGTTTAATTTAATCTGAAATTTCAAAGATAACTTTTAATATTTATTATTTTTTTTAAATTTAGATTTAATTTTATTATTTTTAAAAAATATTTTTCAATTAATTTCATTAAAAATGTTTTTAAAAATTAAGATAAATGAATAATTATCAATTAATTTAAAAGAATGAATGTACTGTATTTAGATAATTTTTGTTTTTTAATTCAGATAAAACTTTCCTTTAAAATTCTTTTTAAAAAAACCTGTAAAATATTTCAATTATTTAAAAAATTCCCCAAAATTCTTTCAAAAAACCCTACAAAAACCTTCCTAAATACGTTTCTAAATTCGAAAAAAATCGTCTAATAATTTTTTTTTTAAATTTCAAATTCAAAATTATTTTTAAAATACTTCAAAAGTTACAGGAAAAATTTAAAATATCTGGAAACCCTTCCAAAATCCTCTAAAAGTATTCAGAACTTTAAAAAATTTCCAAAAATATTTTTTAAAAAAAAACCTTCAAAATATATAAATTCAAAAGAAAATTGCCTCATAAACTCCACCAAAAAAACAGAAAATAATCGAAAATATTTCAAAACACTTTTAAAATCTTTCCAAAATTCTCTAAAAATATTCACAAAATATCTCTAATAAAATCCTCCAAAATAAAATCTGTAAAAATATCTGCAATAAAACATTTAGAAATTCTCCAAAAATATTCAGAAATTCTCCAAAATATTCAGAAATTCTCCAAAATATTCAGAAATTCTCCAAAATATTCAGAAATTCTCCAAAAATATTCAGAAATTCTCCAAAAATATTCAGAAATTCTCCAAAAATATTCAGAAATTCTCCAAAAATATTCAGAAATTTTCCAAAATATTCAGAAATAAATTCTACAAAGAAAAGAAAAAAAAATACCTCCAAAAACCCTCCAAAATTCTCTTATAACATTCACAAAATACCTCCAATGAACCCACCAAAATCATTCGTAAAGTCAACGAAAAATTCTCCAAAATATGCCTTAAAAATCCTATTTTAAAAAAAATAATTAAAAAAAACACAGAATAAGTCGGAAAAAAAATCAGTAAAAAGAATCTTCAGAACAATATACAGTACAATTCGATACAATATTAACGGAACAAATAAAATTCTTCTTTACATTTTACTTTAAAAATCAAGAGAAATTGAAGAAGAGTTTCCTCTTTCAAATTTTCAAATTAAATAAAAATAAAATTTTTTTTAAAATTTATTATATTTAATACAAAAAGTTGAGAAATAATAAAAGTAAGATGTTATCAGCATCCCTCTCCACCATCCATCTTCATTTATTGATGATAAATCATCAAAGAATAAAGTGCAAACGTTGCTGCACCACTACATCACGTACTGCTGCTGCAGTAACAATTATGAGAGATTGTTTATTGTGGAGGTATTTTTATATATATATTTTTTTAATAAACTTTGATCCTTTGTGTGTTTTTTAGTGATTCCTATACATTATGAATGATACTAAAAAGTTATTCTTTATATTATTGTTGCTAAATTGCTTAATGATACACATTTGTATGTGGGTACGACTTCTTTGATTTAAGTCGTTGTAATGCCTTTTATCATCTTGTTTTTTGTCATGTTTGATGCTTAATGGCATCGTAAATAGCTTTAAGATATCGAGTTTCTTATTAACAGAGTTGTAACGGATTAATTGCAATTATTTGATTAGTGAGAGGCACAGGTAACTCAGAGTTTTTTTCCCTCCCTGGTTTGTAAGTAGTAAGATCGATGAGAAAGTGGTAAATTATTGATAAATTTTTAGATTATTTTTTTTAATAATTTGTTTTTCTATTCTTAAATAGAATTTATAGGCGTTTTTACTTAAATTTCAGCGTTTAAATCGTATTTTTTTGTGTTGTAAAATTAATTGTACAAAGTCGCACGAAGTATGTGGAATGGCTTAGAAAGTTGAGCTGCTAAGAAGAAAATTCCAAAAGTTTCGATGTAGATATTAATGCAGATTTCCAAAATTATCAATTTTAGAGTAGAATTGAATAAAATTTATACAGGAAAAGTGTAATTTTCCTAAAATTTGCATAAAATTCAATTCAGTTCTCTGTTCTGGAAGCTCCCTCCTTGAAGGAAACCAATCTTTAGATTTGCGTATGTACTGTACGTAAAAACATACAATCTTTTCATATATAAAACCTCACAAATTTAATTTAAACATAATTAAATAGACATAACTTAGTACATTTTACTGTAACAAAAATTATAATCTAGTTATATGAGCATGAACTTGAACTTGTGTAATCCTAAGGAAAACACTATCATAATTTAACACTAATAATTCGTATAATTTTATAATTATTGCTAGTACAGACAAACGAACAGATAGAAACCTCTTTTATTTATTAAATTACACAAATTACCACACCAACACATAAATGCATAATTTAATTTGTGTAAAGTGAAGAGGTGCATGCCCACCAAGAAAACGGATTTAATATTCTTAAATGTTTATTATATAAAAATGAAATAAGATTAAATAACCTAAAGAAAAGAAATTTTATATAAATTTTATAAAACAATAATCCATTTACAGACAACAGCAGAAGCATAAATAAACTCTTAAAATCAGCAAATTAAATTCAAGAAAAACTGTAAAAACATAAACAATTTTTAGATTTTCTTGAAAAACTTTAATCGTAATTTAAAAAAATGGACATTTATTGCTGTTTTCAAATCTTTTTTCACCTCTCAATTTACTCTCAATTTAGCATCAACTGCAAACTTGCTACTAAACTACAAGCAAGAGTCAAAGTGATTGGTGCTGCAAGCTCCAAAACGTCATCGATTTTGTCGTTAAATTCACACAGTAGTGTTGACTATAACACCTTTCTTAATTGTAGGTGACACCAAACACGTTACGGGTGATGCATTCTGACGATAGACTAATTGTATTTCCGATAAAGATGCAAACAACGATAAATGGAAACCGGAGATCTCTTAAGATTTCAAGATATTTTGTCATATTGTTTGCATTTAAAAGGTGTAAAATTCTATAATCTTTCATTTAACTAATGATAATTAATTAAGTTTATGAATATTTGTATAAATTTACACCCATCGGAAATTTCGAGATATCAATTGAATTCATTTAATTCAACTTCTATCAGTTCTGGAAGCCAAACAGGATCGCTTAATGATAATTAGAAAGAATATCGAACGTATAAAATTTTGTAAACAATATTTAATAAATTTATTAACTTCATTTAAATCTATCGATTAATTTTAATTAGCAAATGAAACTGTACAAACACAAAGTTAGAAATTCTCTTGAATTATACACATATAAATATATACGAAGAAACGTTGTACAAGATGTAAGTCGCACGTTTATCATTTAAAAAACGTTAGAAAATTTAAATTTTTTCAAAAATTCAAATGGTAACGTGTTATAGAATCGTTCAGTAAATTTCTGACATAAAAAACTTCTGGAAAAAAAGGAATTTTTATGTTACTTTCTCGTATTGCTCTTTTGCATATTATTGAATTTCAGCAACTTCCTTTGATCATGCATTGATAAAATTCTGTTCTCCATTTCTTTTTTTTAAATATTATCATTATTATTAAAGTTATTCTATTTTTTTATAGAAAATATTGCATTTTTTACCCCTAAATTAATAATTGAAATTCAAGATAAAAGATTTTGACTTACTGGAACACGTGGTAAACTTGAACGAGTTCATCGGAAGGAACACTTGATTACTACCAAAATCTCAAAATTATCTATAGAAATACATAGAAAAAAATTGTTTAAAAATTATTATAAAATAGCAAAAAGCTTAATTTTAAGAGTAGAAGTGAATTTTATAAAAATAAAAAAGAAAAATTGTAAATTCTTCATTAAGTTCACTCGAGATATAAACGTGACCCCCTCTATCTCCCCAACCTCTCGACCTTTAACCACCAAAATTTAACAGCATTAATCCACCTAATACACAAACCTCCCTATAATATTTCAGAAATTTTAGAAAGATAGCACAGGAGTTATTAAGCTTCAAAGTGGGTGAATACAATTGTTCCTCCTCCATACATACAGGACAAAACCCCAAATTTTCTTGCATTCCTCCATGTTTCAAGTTCTCAAATACAAAAATTTAAGAGTCTTGGAGTGGGGGGTTATTTTTTACGATCGCCATACTTTCCCTCTGTTATATTTAACGGCCAGGAAAGTAACAAACAGAATCTATATACGTAACTGTACAGCATTTGAATGCAATATAAAGCTAGAAAGATTCATGTTATATATAGCTTATTGTATAATATATAAGCTATTTATATATATTGTGCAATAAAGTACTTTCTCTACTCTACAAATTTGTAAATGGCCTTACTTTCGAACGGCAGGATCTCTTTTTTTTTTTTTTTTGCAAGTAACCGTTTGATAAAGTCCTTTCGACTTTGCATGAATAGGCAATTTGTTTGCTTATTTTAAACTCATACGACTTCATACACGTATATACGCATACAAGACAGGTTTTCATACGTAAAAAAATATCCGCGAAACGTCACAATATCGATCGACAGAAGAGGAATTTTACATAAATATTTAACCCATAATTAACGTTTTATAATCCTGGTAACTTAATTAATTAATTCGTAGATTAATTTTTTTTAATGAAAGTTTTAAATATATTTTTATATAAATTTTATAAAACAATAATCCATTTACAGACAACAGCAGAAGCATAAATAAACTCTTAAAATCAGCAAATTAAATTCAAGAAAAACTGTAAAAACATAAACAATTTTTAGATTTTCTTGAAAAACTTTAATCGTAATTTAAAAAAATGGACATTTATTGCTGTTTTCAAATCTTTTTTCACCTCTCAATTTACTCTCAATTTAGCATCAACTGCAAACTTGCTACTAAACTACAAGCAAGAGTCAAAGTGATTGGTGCTGCAAGCTCCAAAACGTCATCGATTTTGTCGTTAAATTCACACAGTAGTGTTGACTATAACACCTTTCTTAATTGTAGGTGACACCAAACACGTTACGGGTGATGCATTCTGACGATAGACTAATTGTATTTCCGATAAAGATGCAAACAACGATAAATGGAAACCGGAGATCTCTTAAGATTTCAAGATATTTTGTCATATTGTTTGCATTTAAAAGGTGTAAAATTCTATAATCTTTCATTTAACTAATGATAATTAATTAAGTTTATGAATATTTGTATAAATTTACACCCATCGGAAATTTCGAGATATCAATTGAATTCATTTAATTCAACTTCTATCAGTTCTGGAAGCCAAACAGGATCGCTTAATGATAATTAGAAAGAATATCGAACGTATAAAATTTTGTAAACAATATTTAATAAATTTATTAACTTCATTTAAATCTATCGATTAATTTTAATTAGCAAATGAAACTGTACAAACACAAAGTTAGAAATTCTCTTGAATTATACACATATAAATATATACGAAGAAACGTTGTACAAGATGTAAGTCGCACGTTTATCATTTAAAAAACGTTAGAAAATTTAAATTTTTTCAAAAATTCAAATGGTAACGTGTTATAGAATCGTTCAGTAAATTTCTCACATAAAAAACTTTTGGAAAAAAAGGAATTTTTATGTTACTTTCTCGTATTGCTCTTTTGCATATTATTGAATTTCAGCAACTTCCTTTGATCATGCATTGATAAAATTCTGTTCTCCATTTCTTTTTTTTAAATATTATCATTATTATTAAAGTTATTCTATTTTTTTATAGAAAATATTGCATTTTTTACCCCTAAATTAATAATTGAAATTCAAGATAAAAGATTTTGACTTACTGGAACACGTGGTAAACTTGAACGAGTTCATCGGAAGGAACACTTGATTACTACCAAAATCTCAAAATTATCTATAGAAATACATAGAAAAAAATTGTTTAAAAATTATTATAAAATAGCAAAAAGCTTAATTTTAAGAGTAGAAGTGAATTTTATAAAAATAAAAAAAAAAATTGTAAATTCTTCATTAAGTTCACTCGAGATATAAACGTGACCCCCTCTATCTCCCCAACCTCTCGACCTTTAACCACCAAAATTTAACAGCATTAATCCACCTAATACACAAACCTCCCTATAATATTTCAGAAATTTTAGAAAGATAGCACAGGAGTTATTAAGCTTCAAAGTGGGTGAATACAATTGTTCCTCCTCCATACATACAGGACAAAACCCCAAATTTTCTTGCATTCCTCCATGTTTCAAGTTCTCAAATACAAAAATTTAAGAGTCTTGGAGTGGGGGGTTATTTTTTACGATCGCCATACTTTCCCTCTGTTATATTTAACGGCCAGGAAAGTAACAAACAGAATCTATATACGTAACTGTACAGCATTTGAATGCAATATAAAGCTAGAAAGATTCATGTTATATATAGCTTATTGTATAATATATAAGCTATTTATATATATTGTGCAATAAAGTACTTTCTCTACTCTACAAATTTGTAAATGGCCTTACTTTCGAACGGCAGGATCTCTTTTTTTTTTTTTTTTTTTTTTTNTTTTTTTTTTTTTTTTTTTTTTTTTTTTTTTTTTTTTTTTTTTTTTTTTTTTTTTTTTTTTTTTTTTTTTTTTTTTTTTTTTTTTTTTTTTTTTTTTTTTTTTTTTTTTTTTTTTTTTTTTTTTTTTTTTTTTTTTTTTTTTTTTTTTTTTTTTTTTTTTTTTTTTTTTTTTTTTTTTTTTTTTTTTTTTTTTTTTTTTTTTTTTTTTTTTTTTTTTTTTTTTTTTTTTTTTTTTTTTTTTTTTTTTTTTTTTTTTTTTTTTTTTTTTTTTTTTTTTTTTTTTTTTTTTTTTTTTTTTTTTTTTTTTTTTTTTTTTTTTTTTTTTTTTTTTTTTTTTTTTTTTTTTTTTTTTTTTTTTTTTTTTTTTTTTTTTTTTTTTTTTTTTTTTTTTTTTTTTTTTTTTTTTTTTTTTTTTTTTTTTTTTTTTTTTTTTTTTTTTTTTTTTTTTTTTTTTTTTTTTTTTTGCAAGTAACCGTTTGATAAAGTCCTTTCGACTTTGCATGAATAGGCAATTTGTTTGCTTATTTTAAACTCATACGACTTCATACACGTATATACGCATACAAGACAGGTTTTCATACGTAAAAAAATATCCGCGAAACGTCACAATATCGATCGACAGAAGAGGAATTTTACATAAATATTTAACCCATAATTAACGTTTTATAATCCTGGTAACTTAATTAATTAATTCGTAGATTAATTTTTTTTAATGAAAGTTTTAAATATATTTTTATATAAATTTTTAGCTTTAAAGGATTAAAATATTTAGAAGTTATCGTCGAGAGCAAACCAGACTTTACTATTGATCGATTTGCCCTTGTTATAATTGACAACAGACATTGCAGCATGGGGGAGGAGGAGAGACGAATTGGATAGTTTTGTATGAAGAAAAATATGTGATAACAATTAAAATATTGCGAAAAATTAAAAAGATTTTGTAGTTTTTATTATGAATTTTCAATATTTTCTTGAATTTTTCTACAATTTCCATCTCTATCTTTACATTTTTAACGTTACAACTATGCTTACTTCTCTTTTGTAGCTCTTCTAGAATTGTATATACAGAGTTATACACTGTATATATATCTTTATATTGTTTATTTAATTTTTCCGTTCATATGAATCTTACATGATATTGCTTTTGGATATGTTTTATTCATTTGACTGGAAGGAAAAGTCTTATATTCTGCATCTCTGGTTTGCTTGTTTCAATGCTTCTGTTTCCTTAACTATCTTATAATAGAAAAATTGATATTTATATCGAGAAAAATTATACAATAACGTGTACAGTACGTAATTTACTGTACATAAGTATAATTCGAACTTAATTATGATTATTTAAACGGTTATAAGCTAGTAAAATTTAAATTAAATTAGATGATGCCTGCAAGATTCCAGAATTTGATATTAACAAAGTTGATTGACCGATTGATTTAGCTGTAATTTTACGCTTTATATACTGTAACTCGAGACATAATTAATGTATTGTTTACAGTAATTTAGTGTTTGTATTCGTATGTTATACGCGATTGAGCTCTGAGTAAAGAAACAAATCTTCTTATAGACTCATTCATCGTATTGTTCGTATATATAAAGCATTAATCCACAGAACTAAACAATATTAAATACCCTAAATGTAACACCGTACACGACAACTTTAATGTGAATACTTACTCCAAACTGATGATGATGATGATGAAAAAAGTAATTATTCCGCATCTTCAACAAAAAATATTTAAAAATTAATTAAAAATGTATGTAATAAATAAAGTTTATCTAAATTTATGGAAACAATTTTGAAGTATACATTATTAAAATTTATAATAATAGCAGGTGACGAATTTAAGACAACAAATTCCATTAAACAAGGAGAAAGAAGAAAGGAAATTGCATTTTTTTTTCTTTCTTTCTTTGCAGAATTTCTTATTTAAAAAAAAAAAAGCTGATTTAATTCACAAAACGTGATTAAATAAACACAATCAGATACACGTTAATAATATTGTCAACAATTTTCAGCATATAATCCATTAACGAGCGGAAAAAATGGATATGCTGCATTAAAAAATCGATAAAGTTCTTTTTTTTTAATTTATGAAAAAAAAATATTAGACAAGTCACTTATACTTTATACAATATTCTGTATTGATGATAAACTATGATGATGATGATTTGTATATTATTTTGTATGTCTTATCAGATGTAGAAAACGTAAAC